GGAACGCCCTTCTTGCCAATGGAATACAGAAGGAATAAGAGTTGTTCAAATCTGTAGAAATAGCAACGCGAGTCTTGGACGTAAATGCTTGAGTTGGTAACACTAAAGAATGAAGCTTGTCGGAATATTTGTTATGTAAATAGCGACAGAATAGCGATAGGTTGACTGTTTTGCATCCAGAAGAAAAAAGTTGCAGACTGGAAAATAAATCATCTGCCACAAATCTACGTAAATGTTTTTAGACTCTCAAGGAAAGACTGGGTAGCTCCAGCTTAGATATAGCAGTAGTAGTCCACTTTTGGTTTAAAACGGACTCTTAAAAATGTAAAGCATAGCAGTGTTTGTTATTCTCTGGACCGGGACAACTTCCCCACCTATGTTTCTCTAAGCAAATTTTGACTTTTTACCATTCTTTTTTCTCCCACACTGCCATTCATTCACTTAATCTCGTTAGGTAGGTTAGACACTGTTTCCTTCTGGTCCTCTTTATGTCTTGTGAGTGTTAAATTTTCCAAGCCCTCTTTCTTTAAGTCAAACACTGCATATTACAGTACAGTTGGTTTAGTATTTGATGAACATACAAAAAAACCCCTAAAATAAAGGTTCAAATAACAGAAAACATTTCAGTTGCAAATCGTAACAAATATATAAATATACAAAACATCTTAGTAGCCGCGGGTGCTTGGTTGCGGATTGTCGATATCGTTACAAAACGATCAGACATATCAATTCGTGATCGTAAAATCGGAAAGCCGTAAGTTGACGATGACTTGTATTAGCCAGTTTCTCTTCATTGAGCTGTTCGAGCTATTTCAATGCAGATGTGACGTCGTCCCCCCCTGGTCGCAGCGTCGACTGTGTCGTTCGATCCCGTTCGCGACGCCAGCTGTTCGCTCCTCGCTGCTCCAAGTGTGACGTTCTAACCCTTTGGTTAGATGAATACCAGCCTCGTCGTTCCCAACCCGCTTCCAACGCCTGGTTACCAGGGTAACTGCACTGATCTCCGGTCTGCCTACCCACGTTGTGATTAGATCTTAGACAGACGAGATCAAACAGGGATTGGGCCGTATGCAAGCTGAGTCCAACGGGGGTGATAACACACAAGAAAAATAAAAACTCACAAGGTCAAAAATATTGAAGAAAAAGGTAACAACTTTTTATATCTAATTGCTCGTTACACAAGATTATTCCTACCTCCCGACCCGTTCTGTGGACTGTGGCACCACGCTTCTACCAGGCAACTTTAAGTCTTCGAGTTGCCTGCTCTCTAGAAATTTGCATTTCGGGGTGTGGTTTCGTTTCAACACTGGGCGCTGATCTCTGCTTGTCGTTCACGGCTGATCTCTCTCGCCGTCCGCGGCGCAAACTCTCTTCAGAGTCTGAATTATTGGTCACTCATCTCTGCCGTCAGTGCGTGAATTAACTTCTTCTCTTCGGCTTGGGTTGGACGAGTTTATTCACTTCGGCTTGGGTTGGACGAACTTCTCTTCTTAGGCCAAACGGACCGGCCTTTCTTGCCCGCAAAGGGGCGAATGAACCGGGCCCGCCGTCCGCGCTCAAACTCCCTCGCCGTCCGCGGCGCAACTCTGTCCCGCCGTCCGCACTGCAACTCTGTCCCGCCGTCCGCGCTGCAACTGATTTCTGTCGGTTGGGGTCTCGCTTTTATTGATGCAGTCAAAACTGGGGTGGGTCTGTCGGCGCCAGGGTTTTCTTGATAATTCTAAATACGTATCCACCCTTCTTATTTCTGATTAGGGATTTTCCATTTTCGGTAACTTACTTTCACTCCTACTCCCCTTACTGTGCCCTCTGGGGCGTATACCCGCTTCCCCTGCTCCTTCGTATGTCATGTGACCGCTCTCGGCCAATGGGGTCCTGGTCGGGCATCTTTCCTCCTCCTTCATGTATCATGTGACCGCCTTCGGCCAATGAGGCTCTGGTCGGTATCTTTCCTCCTTCCTTCGTGACGTCTTTAATCGGGCGTGGACAATCCGTGGCTTTGTTCTGGGGAAGAAACACCTTGCTTAAAAAAAAACAAAAATTTAAATTGCCCTTTTTAGTACGTGACCGAAATGACGCTCTCGGTTTCTTTTGTCAAACAGTTTATCGCTAATTGGATACGATCTAAGAAAGGGATTTCCCAGACTGGGTGGCGTTTTCGCGAACTAATAAAAATATTTCACTTTTTTCTTTCGCTCGGAGCTTGATAACAAAAATCTTAATTATCTCAAAAAAAGCATTTTCTAACATCACCTTGTGTGGCTCCATTTTCAATTCTGGGATTGTCTGGGTTTTCGTATTAATGGTTTGCCTGTATATCCTTAGATAAACTCCCCACCTGTTACCTATCATATTTTTTTTCATTGTCTCTAAACTTTATTTCTTCAACCAAATTGATAATAAACTTCCATTTTTCGTGGACACGGAAGTAGGTCAGGTGCTTGACCTGATATTTTTGACATCTGATATGTGCCAGTCGAGCGTGTGTGTGCTCGCTTACGACCTGGTTTCGTATTATTTATTTTTCTCCTTTTTTTTTCCTTCTGTCTTCTCTTTCTTCTAGATCGCTTGAACGCAATTAAAAAATTATTCTCAAAACCCCAATATTTTTCAGCTCTAAATAATTATCAAATGGTTGACAAACCGTAAAAAACAAATCATATATTTATGAATATTTCTTTCCAGCCTGCCAACTTATGCATGGTGCCACACAGAGATCAGCTGCCAAATCTGACCTTCTCAGATTTTGGAAGTGCTACCATAAACTGTGCTATAGTCTATATATATATATTTAAGCGTTTCACACCCAGCAAGGCGGGAAACCACTAGCACGCAAGGGGTTACAGGCAGAAGGAGCGAGAGCAAAGAGGAGTGATAGAGGAAAGAATGAAGAGAAGGATAGGGGATAGATCAAGGCATAAGTAGACGTCGATTGACATTGCATTTCAATAGTTGGAGATTATAGCTATCAGAGAAACAGGAAAGGGGAGGAAATTCCACAGGCGAGAAGTGCGAGACATGAAGCTATTGGAGTAGAAGAGATGGCTACATTCAGCAGTTTCGACAGTGAAAGGGTGAGAGCGAGATTCCAGCCAAGTTGAACCGTGAAAATATTTGTAAAAAAGACAGGGAGGCGGCGGCATGTCCGTGAGAGAGCGACTTCAGACGAGATGCCATGATCAGTTACATTGCATATCCATCTCTGGAATTTATCAAAGACCTTGAGAAAAACAGAAGGGGCTCCAGACCATATATGGCAGCAATACTCTCTGCAAGGGCGAATGGTTGATTTGTAGATTTGAAGGATCGACTCCGAGAGAAAAATTTCCACAGGTAGCCAACTTTCCCTGCGGTGAACGCAGCTATTGACACAATATATTTGTTCCATCTCAGGTCAGCAGTCAATGTGAGGCTGGACAGTCGCAAAGAGTTGAGCGTCAGACATTATAATGGGTGGGGGTCAAGGATGGTTCACTGTGGTGAGTAATAGTAGTTTTGTTTTTTGTGGCATTAGTATTAACCAGCCAAGTCCTGCCCCAGTCCTCAACCCAGTGGAGGTCCTTTTCGAGACAAACGGCACTAGATTTGTTTTTGAGGCAGGAGTAAATAGTAGTGTCGTCCCCGTAGATGGTCTGAGACAGATGGTTAATATAAAGCCGAAACAGCGAGGAAACAGTCTCGGATGACGCCTGTACGGGCTTGAAGAGAATGGTCATTAACAAAGACATTCTTAAACCTACCTGAAAGGAAGGACTTGATAAATGCAAAGACTCTTCTAGAGATACTATAGATTGGGTGCGTGTGTAGCAATCCCCTGTGCCACTAATTCTCAAAAGCTTTTTAGAGTGCAATTGCTCCCGTGAGTAAGTTACTAATTCAGTGTGTAATGTTGTTTTTAATGCATCAGTTATGGATATAGGGGAGAGAAATTCATACGTCTTGTTGAACAGCAGACTGCTTTTGTTGAAGTGATCAACGCCCTTTTAGATGATAATGGACTCAAAGAGTCTGATCGAGCGATATTGTAAGGTGTATGAACGCTCATCTGCCTGAAAACGGAACATATCGCTAAGACCTACAATAGATCTGAGAAGCATTTCTCCTTCAGGCAGCCGCTAAACAACTTTGCCATCACTGGGTTAAGGTCCTTAAAAACAACCATAGGGACATTATCAGGCCCGGTAGCCTTTGTAAAATGAATCAGGTCCGGTAGCCTTCGTTGAGCTAGAAAATTTCCCGAATTGTGATAGAGAAAACACAATTTTGACTTCGTCAGAGGGACGAAGTCGGATAAACGTTGATAAGGATCATCTGACATGGATGAGTATAAAAGGTAGAAATGTTTATAAATAGTGATAATAATTGATAACTACAGACTGAGAAAAATACAGGAGGTGGATCTCTTGTAAAGGGTATGAGAAATATATATATATATATATATATATATATATATATATATATATAGAGAGAGAGAGAGAGAGAGAGAGAGAAGTCAGAGAAAACCATGATAGGTTAGAAAATTAGATAATTGAAGAGATGAAAATAAAAAAGAGAGAGAGAGAGAGCAACCAGGAAAGTATGACCAGAAACAGTGAGTGGGGAAATGGTAGGCAGAATGGAAAGATGGGAAAGAATGTTTTAATGTCAAATGTAAAAAAAATAAGAAAGAGAGACAAAAAATGAGAAAGATAGGTAAGAAAGAAAGAAAGAAAGAAAGAAAGAAAGAAAGAAAGAAAGAAAGGAAAAAATAAGAAATAACAAAAATTGGAAAGAAAGATAAAAAATAAGAACGGGAGATAAAAAAAAAATTGGAAAGAAAGAAAGATACAAATAAGAAAGAAAAAAAAAGAAAGAATATAAAAAAAGTAAAAAAGATAGAAAGAAAGATAAAAAAATAAGAAAGAAAGAATTTCCTAATCGTAGCAGATGAGACCGACATGAAGAAAGAAAGAATAAGTGAAAAACGTTGGCAACGATGATATATTTGCAAAGATGAAAAATCAACTTAAAAGCGTGAGTAAGAGAAAGAGAGAGTGGGACAGAGAGAAAGAGAGAATGAAAGAGAGCAAGGGAAGATTATACTGAGAATGAAAACAGGAAAAATGAAAAAGGATAGAAATACTACAAGGATAGAAATATGGGACAAAGAAAGAAAGAAAGAAAGAAAGGGGGGTAGAGAGAAAGGGAATAAAAATGAGAGAGAAAGGGGAAAAGGAGAGAAATAGAGGAAAAACAAGAGAAAGAAATAAAGGGGGAAAAGAGAGAAAAGAGGTAAAACAAAAAAGAAAAGAAAGATAGAAAGGGGAAATAGGGAAAGATAGAAAAAACGAGGAAGAAAGAAAGAAAGAAAGAAAGAAAGACAGACAGAAAAAAAGAAAAAAAAAAAGAAAGAAAGAAAGACAGACAGACAGAAAGAAAGAAAGAAAGAAAGAAAGAAAGAAAGAAAGAAAGAAAGAAAAGGTGAATCCGAAAAAAAACAAAAAAAACTGGTAAAACATGAAGGAAAAGAAAAGACAGAAAAGAACACAGAAAATATATATATATATATATATATATATATATATATATATATATAAGCCAGTATCCAATTTACCACACACCTTGCAATACGGTGACAATGACGGACCGTTAAGAAACCAAGAAAATACCAAGAAAATAAACAATGTGAAACACAAAACCTGTTGTACGTTTCCGTATGCGTAGACAACTGCATGTGTAACCGTCTGACCAACCTGAATGTACAAATTTACGAACTCGACTACGTTAGCGAGAGTGTGCGAATACTTGTCCGTACTTATTGTATAGGGTCTGTATTTAAGCAGTCGGGCCTCATACCGTGCTAATAAATAAGATATATATATGCTTCTACAGTACTGTCTGGGAAAGGAAATTATGGAAATTATGGTGGGGAAGTAGTATGCCTAGATTCATACTCATCTATTCTCTGCTACATCGATCATCGCGACGTGCCAGTAACAAGGATTTTGTCAAAATATCTCACGATGGAACAGAGAAAAGTAGATTCATGCCTTTCCCAAGAGCATGGGTGTAAAGCAGCCATTAAAATTTCAGCCAAATCTCTCTTTCTCGATTTTTCCCATTCTTTCTTTCTTTCTTTCTTTCTTTCTTTCTTTCTTTCTTGTTTTACCTCTTTTCTCGCTTTATTTCTTTCTCTTTTTTCCTCTATTTCTCTCTTTTTCCCCTTATTCTCTCATTTTTAATCCCTTTCTCTCTGCCTCCCTTTGTTTGTTTGTTTCTTTCTTTCTTTCACGTTTTTTCTACCTTTCCCATTTCTATCTTTCTTTTCTTTCTTTCTTTCTTTCTTTCTTTCTTTCTTGTTTTACCTCTTTTCTCTCTTTTACCCCTTTATTTCTTTCTCTTTTTTCCTCTTTTTCCCCTTTCTCTCTCGTTTTTATTCCCTTTTTCTCTGCCTTTCTTTCTTTCTTTCTTTCTTTCTTTCTCGTTTTTTCTATCTTTCCCTATTTCCCCTTTCTATCTTTCTTTTCTTTCTTTCTTTCTTTCTTTTTTCCTCTCTTTCTCTCTTTTCCTACCTTCTCTCTCTCGTTTTTCCTCTCTTTCTCTCTCAGTTATAATAATTTTAGTATTGGAGAAAAAAAATTAAACATAGAATAGGTTGCGCTGGGAGAATTGTTTTCCACAACACGATAAAAAGCAACAAATTTCAGTTCAGTTATGTGCCATGCGTGATACACGCTTGGACGAACATGTATATTTCGATATATGCCTGACGAGGCAGATTTTTTTTTTCCTGCAATAGGTTGCCATTTCTTTCTGCGGTAGACTAGTTGCCATCAAAGGCTATAGAGCCCGGTCTGTCCTGTTATTTACTTACAGCTGGAGGGGGGGAGGGAGAAGAAGAGGATTCATAACATTCCCAAGGATATTAGCACGTAAGTGAATGTAATGGATTCGACTGGAATTCGAAGTCGACTCTCCGATTCCTCAATCCGATCCGCTGTCCATTACTTTACCGTACAAAACCAAAACAATATCTTACAAAATCGAGTCATGCCCCTAAACCTCGTCAGATGGAGATTTTCATTTGGATATCATGCATGGCGAGAAATACGTTCAGAAATATCTAAACTACCAGCTGTAGACAACCGCTTTCAGAGATGATTTATTAAAATTGGCTTTCAGAGAATTAAACAACTAGGTCGTAGAAATGACCACCCTTCTTCGAAACTAATCGACTTGAGGACTTCCAATAACGGCAACAACTAAAATGGATAGCATGGATAACACGAAGAGAAAAATAATGGTATAAGAAAGATGACATTCCACACTACTTCAAACAAAACATTAGGAAGAGAACCCCCATTAATACTAGAAAAAGCAATAACATTAAATATCAGAACAGTCAGCTGTTGTACAACTGTTTTCTCAGATCAGCGGTTTAAAATGGGTTGGAATAAGTGAAGTCTATGCATCTTGATGAAGACCAGTCTTTTTTTTTTTAAACATTGTAGATTGGCGCTACAGAATCACAAAAAAGAACGAATTGTATAAAATACCCAAAACGACATCACTTGAGGACTTTTAGCAACGGCAACAACGAAAATGGATGTCATGCATGGCTCGAAACCTGTTCAGAAATATCTAAACTGTAAGCTGTTGTATAACTTCTTCCTCAGATCAGTGGTTAAAAATGGGTTGGGGTGAGTGAAGTCTGTACATCTTGACGAAGATCATTCTTTTTCAAACATTGTGGACTGGCGCTACAGAATCGCAACATAAAACGATCTGTACCAGATAACAAAAAACAATATCCCTTAAGGACTTTCAATGACGGCAACAACTAAAACACATGTAAGAGAAAATAATGACATAATTAAGATGTTGATATTCCACACTACTTCAAACACAAAGTTAGGAAGGAAACACACGGTAATACCGAAAAGAAAAATAACAGTTACAGGACTTGAGAAAACTATTATCCTGAAAAAATTGTTTTAAGAGAAAGATTTCATAAAATTCAAACGACAACACCACTGGCTGCTTGGTCAATAATTGTAGAATGTTTCTTAATAATATTACTATTACCATTATCAAGTAGAAATTATGAAGAAGAAGTGCAGCTATGCAATAATATGGCGAGTACGTCAAGTCGAATAATCACTATATAGATGTTTTAGGTTTGGTTTGGTTTGGTTTGTTTTACGGAATATGAACATCAGTGGGTTATTTAATGCCGAAAAGATTTTATTTCTGGTAATATTTTTTTTCAAAAGTGTATTGCTGATAATAATATTTCCTTCAAAAATTCATAGCTGTTAACAAAAATATACTGCTGGTATTAAAACTTATTTTTACACTTTCATATTGTTTTAATCCCAGTTTGGCTGTCAACTATTTGCCCATAGCTGGGACCCTAACAGGTGCTACCACCCCAGATCAGGATAGACCTGGGAACACCAGCAATTAAAAGGTGTTTTCATCTCCTCAAAACCTGATCAGACGCCTTGCTGTTGGATGTAGTTTATCGTCTTACCCAGGACGCTAGATGTTTGAGTTTAGGCTCGACAGAAAGTCAAGCAATAGGAAATTCAAAGATGTCAGAAACTGCTACAGTGTTGAATTAGCACGTTACATGTTTGCTAACTTTTGATTGGTCTACAGCAGCACTTCTTAAACTTTTTCATTCATGACACCATTTTATATGACGAGATATTTCGCGAACTCAGGTATTAACCAACTTCCCTGAAAATACGTCACTGCCCTTGTAAGCAATGGCGTCGCACGCGCGTTTTATTACCGCAACGATTGAGTGGCGCATCACGCTAAATATTTTGCATTTGGGAAATAACATAGAAAATGAAATTCAAGTGTTTTAATTTCATTTTCGCCACCCCTGCATTTCCATAGTTTAAGAAGCGCTTTTCTAGACAATTATTCTCGGCAGGATCTATCGTGCGCATTTATAATACTATATTTCGTCCCTGCATCGAATATTGGTGCTACATCATGTCTGTTGCTTCTGTTTTATATCTAGATATTCTTGACAAAATCCAACGAAGAATCGGTAAAGTTATCGGCCATGATCTTGCATTTCGGTTTCTGTCCTTTTCCCATCGCCTTAACGTAGTTACATTTTCCCTTATCCATAAATATTTTCATGATAGATGACTCTTATGAGCATTCCTCATTGGTACCTATACTTCACGAAAATACATCCGTTGTCACTGACTTGGTCTAAACGGCGTTGCACGCGCGTTTTATTACCGTACTGATTGCATGACGCATCAGGTTAAATATTTTGTGCGTTTGGGAAATAAAATAGAAACTGAAATTCAAGTGTTGCGATTTAACTTTCGCCACCCTAGTATTTCACTTCGCGGGACCATTTGGGGTCGCGACCCATAGTTTAAGAAGCGCTGATCTAAAATAATGGTTGGTCGATCGTTTGCCTTTCGGCTAGCCAATCTCTGTAGCAAACGCCTGTACAGAGAGCTTTTTGTTCAACATCCACAGAATCCATATGTGGTTTATACTACTGCAACTATGCTGAGCAGATCTCGGTTACAGTTTCTGGGAGAGAGGTCCATCATCCAAATTTCAATGACAAGGCTAGGGTCGACCCATAGTATGTCTTTCAGTCAATTCCCAAAGATGCTGTACACTGTGATTGTCTTCCCAGACCTATAACACCAATAAATCACTTTCCTGGGAAATTGAGTATGGTAAGATTCGAACCCGGTTCGCATGGTTGATAAGCGAAAGTTCTAATACGAACATGTGAGCTACTGAAAATACAAATTCACTCGTAGTTCTTTAAGTGTGTGTGTGTGTATACACACACACACACACACATATATATATATATATACATATATATATTTGTGCGTGTGTATGTATGTGTGTGTGTGTGTATATATATATATATACACACACTCACACCTACACACGCACACAGTCACACACACCTACACACACACACACACATATATATATATATATATATATATATATATATATATATATATATATATACGTTAATTAACCTTATGTAATTTATATAAATTATACTTTACTGAAATTAAAGCAAGCAAACGCTTGGTCCTGTGGATTCTAACCCTGGGGCAGCACCTCGCGCATTACAAATAGAAAGGGGAGATCAGGTAAATACCAAGTGCACCCAGGCACACGGCCCCTGGGATTATATCCCTGCGGCAACGCCATCCTCATTGTACTTAGAGAGGTGGGGTCAGTGTAATATCGACGCCAGTTTTACGGTGGTGGCGCGGACTGGACAATTTTTGTCCTTGGTCCATATGTATATGTATTGGCAACTTATATAAAAAAAAGACCTTGTGCCACATTCTGTCTTAGCGGGGAGGTCAGGAAAATATAAAGTGTAGGACACACAGTGAGGATCAAATTGTTTACACAGTAAAATGTGTCTTGCTAACATTTAAACCACATATAAATTGTTTGTTAGCAAAACCTAAATGGACCGAATTAAAGAGAATATGAAATAATCGATATTGAATTGAAACATGCATCCATTTCATTAATAATCATCTCCCTACCGTCCAAAATAATGTGAAATTCACCCCAATAGTCTTTGATCAGTGTTGAGGGGTTCTCCCCTTTTTACACAAATGGACTCACCCAGTATATACATATATTACGGCTACGTGAAGACCCGAAAGAGCAAGACCGAAGAGTCGAGTCCAGAGTGACAGAGTAAAAGGTTGTAGGTAACCGGAAGAGTGAGGGTGAGGTAACAGCGTTGTAGGAGTCACCGTGAGCGAACACGTAGACTCAGTAAGAAGTCATACAGCGATAGTTCAATACCAAAGACTGTGTATATATTTTGCTACTAACCCGCATTCTTGGAACTACTAACCTGCTTTACCAGTTTGTATTATTACGTTAATACATAATTTCATAGATTTATTCCTGTCGTTTGTTATTTATTGGTACCGGATTTCAACCCGGAATCCACAACAATCAGTTTAAGATAAAACTCAGAAAAGTGTGTGCAAATTGGATTAAATCTTCTAAAGATATTAAGCGAAATTCAAAAGAACGAACGATTTAGTGAAGACGATGTCACGTCGGATCTTTTTTTTTTTCTATTTGTTTTTTTAATTGAATCCACCCCAAGGAAGGCAGTAAAGCCACTATGACACAAGGGGTTACTTGGTATGGAAGAATTAGAAAACAGAAAGTTTAGGAGAGAACAAGAAAAAAAAGGAAGAGTAATCAGGAGGACATAGAATAGCGATTGTCATTGCAATTAGGTTTTACAAGATTAGAGTTGACTGAAAAGCATAGAGCCGGAAGGGAGTTCCACAAGCGAGAAGAAAGTATTAGCATAGAAATTACGTTTACATCTTTTGCTAACTTAATTGTAATTCAATGAGACCACTGCACCAGTTTAGTACTCGCTTAAATTCATAAAATCTCGGTATAATTACTAATTACTAATATTTATAAAAAAAAGGCACAGGTGGTCAACTTTACGGTAGTGGGAAAGTGACAGAAGCCGAGATGCCAGATCAGAACCAATAATATTGCTGATTCTTCTTTGGCTTTTATCAAGGATCTCTAGATAAATAGCAGAAGCACCGGGCCATATGTGGCAACAATATTCAAAGCAAGACGAA